AAGGCTACAAGCAGGAAGCACAGATTCTCCAAAGCCCACTCTGGGCCACATGCTGTCCTGGCGCAGCCCTCTGGGCTAGTCTGGCAGCTCTGTACAGCTGGTACCCTCTTCTGCATCCTTTGTGGGCTGTAAGCTCACAGAGGGCAGGCTCTCCTCTCCTCTGGGTTAAGTGTGAATCACCCTTTCTGCAGCCCCAGAATAAAACTTCAGCTTCCTGTGGCCTCTGCAGAGGGGCCTTGCCGTCCATGCCAACCCCTCATATCCTTGCTTCCCACTCCTGAAGCATGTCAAGCTGGCTCCTATCTCAGGCCCTTTGTCGACTGATCAACCTACATGGCATTCAGATCCCCACTTGGATGCTCCCTTCAGAGAGGTTTCCCTGAGGAGGCTTTCTGCAGAGGCCCACTGTTTTGGTGTTTTAGGGCTGCCATTACAAAAGAACACAAATGAGTGACTTAGAAGAACAAAATGATTCAATCACAGTTCTGAAGGCTAGGAGTCTGAGGTCAGGGTGTTGTCCTTGTTGATTCTACTCTTTCCCTCCACACACTTATTCTGTGTGTCTGTCCTGTCTCCTCTTTTATAAAGATGCCACTCAGATAAGATTAGGACCCACCTCACTCCAGTCTGGAGTCCCTGCATTGTTAATATGCTCAGTTACTAACTGAAAGGTTGAAAGTTCAGATATACCCAGAAGTATATCAGAAGAAATGCCTGGTGATCTACTTCTGAAAAATCAGTCATTGAAACTTCGGTGGAGCACAGTTGGGGTTGGTTGCTATAAAATCAACTCAGTGATGACTGGTGTTCCATATGACCTCATATTCACTGATAACACTTTTACACAAGGTAACCCTCACAGGTACTAGGGTTAAAACTTCAACATGTCTTTTTGGGGGTATGGTGTTGTGAATTGTGGTATATCTCTTCTAGCCATAGTCTGTGTTGTTGTTGTTAGGTGCCATCGAGTTGGTACCGACCCATAGTGACTTTATGCACAGCAGAACGAAACACTGATCCTGGGCCAACCTCACTATTGTTGCCGTGCTTGAGTCCATTGATGCTACCACTTGGCCAGTCCATCTCATTGGGGGTCTTCCTCTTTTCCTCTGACCCTCCACCTTACCAAACATGATATCCTTCTCTAGCGACTGCTCCCTCCTGACAATATGTCCAAAGGTCATCGTGGCCTCTAAAGAACACTCTGGCTGTACTTCTTTGAAAATGGACCTTTTGGTTCTTTTGGCAGCCCATGGCACTTTAAATATTCTCCTCCAACACCATAACTCAAAGGTATCAATTCTTCTACGTTTTTCCTTATTCACTATCCACCTTTCGCATGCATATAAGGTTGTTGATAATACCAAGGCTTGGGTCAGGTGCACCTTAGTCCTCAAGCTGACATCTTTGCTCTTCAACACTTTAAAAAGGTCTTGTGCAGCAGATTTGCTTAGTGCAATTCGTCGTTTGATCTCTTGACTGCTGCTTCTGTGAGTGTTGATAGTTGATCCAAGAAGAATGAAGTCCTTGACAACGTTCATCTTTTTTCCATCGATAAAAATGTTGTTTATTGGTCCAGTGGTGAGGATTTTTGTCTTCTTTACATTGAGATGTAATCTATACCAAAGGCTGTGCTCTTTGATCTTCATCAGTAAATGTTTTAAGTCCTCTTCACTTTCAGCAAGCAAGGTTGTATCATCTGCATATCGCAGGTTGTTAATAAGTCTTCCTCCAATCCTGATGCCATGTTTTACTTCATAGAACCCAGCTTCTCGGATTATTTGCTCGGCATACAGGTTGAATAAGTATGGTGAAAGAATACAGTCTTGTAGCACACCTTTCTTAATTTTAAACCATTCAGTGTTCCCATGTTCTGTTTGAACAACTGCCTCTTGGTTCAGGTACAAATTCCTCATGAACACAATTAAGTGTTTCGGAATACTCATACTTCGCAATGTTATCCATAGCTTGTCATGATCCACACAATCAAAAGCCTTTGCATAGTCAATAAAGCACAGATAAAACATCTTTCTGATATTCTCTGCTTTCAGCCAAGATGCATCAGACATTAACAATGATATCCCTCATTCCATGACCTCTTCTGAATCTAACTTGAACCTCTGGAAATTCTCTGTCAATGTATGCTTGCAGCCGTTTCTGTATTACCTTTAGTAAAACTTTACTTTCATGAGATAACAAAGAGATTGTCTGATGATTTCTGCATTCTGTTGGGTTACCTCTCTTTGGAATGGGCACAAATATGGATCTCTTCCAATGAGTTGGCCAGATAGTTGTCTTCCAAATTTCTTGGCATAGATGAGTGAGTGTCTTCTGTACCGTCTCACTTTTTTGAAAGATTTCAATTTTTATTCCATCAATTCCTGGTGCCTTGTTCTTTGGCCAATTCCTTCAATGCACCTTGGACTTCCTCCCTAAGATCATTGGCTCTTGATCATATGCTACCTCTTGAAATGGTTGAACATTAACCATTTTATTTTGGTGTACAGTGACTCTGTATTCCTTCCATCTTCTCTTGATGCTTTCTGCATCACTCAGTAATTTGTCAGAGAATCTTTCAGTAACGAAAGTCGAAGCTTGAATTTTTTCTTCAGTTCCCCCAGCTTGCGAAGTGCTGAGTGTGTTCTTCCTTTTTGATATTCTGATTCCAGATCTCTGCACATTTTATTGTAATATTTGGCTTTATCTTCTCGAGCTGACCTTTAAAATTTTCTGTTCAGCTCGTGGACCTCCTCATTTCTTCCATTTGTTTTAGCATCTCTACACTGGAGAGCAAATTTCAGTGTCTCTTCTGATACCCATTTTGACCTTTTCCTTCTTTCCTGTCTTCTCAATGACTTTTTGCTTTCTTCATGTATGATGTTCTTGATGTCATCCCATAACTCTTCTGGTCTTCTGTCTTAGTGTTGATGTATCACGTCTGTTCTTCAGATCTCTAAATTCAGGTGGGATAAATTCAGGTCATATTTTGGCTCTTGTGGACTTGTTTTCATTTTCTTCAGCTTCAGTTTGAATTTGCATATGAGTAATTGATGGTGTGTTCCACAGTCTTCCCCTGGTCTTGTTTTCACTGATGATATGGAACTTTTCCATCTTCTCTTTCCGCAGATGTAGTGAATTTGATTTCTATGTTTTCCATCTGGTGAGGTCCATGTGTATAGTCGTCTGTTAAGCTGTAAATACCACTAAACAATATTTCTGCCCTTCTGGGCCTGGATAGGAGAAGGTGTTCGAAGATACTAATAGGATGACATGCTTTAGCTGTGGATGGTAGCAGAGTTCATTTTAATTGTAAGAGCTTGAACTGGTCTGGATATAAAATGAACCATCTCAGAAGCAAGAGGGTGGATCTCACTACCAGCAAAGAAAAATCATAAGTGGAGCATGTCCTTTGGCCCCCGAGATCCCTGCTCATTGAACCTTCTTGGCCCAGGGATAGAAAGCTGTGACATCGGAGGAGTATCAGAGAAATAGCAGCAACAAAACCAAGAGCCAGAGCACAAGACAGAGCTTTGGGCTTCCTGGCCCACAGAGCAAGTAAAGCACTTTGTGCAGGAGGCTTGCTTGTAGAGTGGGGTGCCTCCAGACACTTAAATGGGGGAGCTAAGTTTGCTTATCTATAGAGTGAGAGCTAAGTGCTTTTAGGTTGAAGTTTATGGTGTCCTGTGGGCATTTATCAGCATTCCTGGAAGAACTTTGTACCATTGGCAGGCAGAGAGGCCTGCCTGTGGTCATTGCTGAGTAGAGGCTGTCCTGACTGTAACAACTTTGCCCTGAGTGCTTCTGACCCTGAAGTGTAGCCTGCTAAACCCACCAGCTGCTCCTTGGAAATCCTGTACAGGGTCGCTATGAGTCGGAACCTACTCGGTGGCACTTATCAACAACAGCATTAACAACTTTCCTAATAAACCCTCTAACTATGATTGTTTCTGAGTTCTGTGTGGCCACTGCAGTGAACCCAGAAGAGAAGCAGAAAGTACTGTTGGAGGGATGGTTGATACCATGTTTTTTTTTACAGGAGGACACTCATAGTGACACTTGTATAGGGTTTCTGAGGCTGTAAGTCTTTACAGGGGTATATTTGATATATAAATGGCATTCCTGGCTACTTTTTTGGGTTTCAGCCCATACCTCTCACCTGTGTGTTCCCTTCTGTGTTTGTCTCCCTGTCATGCACATACTCCATCTGGTCTCACATCACCCAGGCACTGTGCTTACCCTTCCATCCAGATAAAAATCAAGGCACCCAATAACTTCTTCAGTTACCTCATGTACCTTGTTCACGAATTTTGCCTGTTAACTTGCTGAGGGGTTTACCTTCCTGTCTGCACCAAGATGTTAGCTTCCTATGTGCTGTGACCGTTGGTAGCCACAGGTGCTGTGGAACCTGTTTGCTGGGGGAGCAAATGCCCCAGGGTGCTATGTACTGGCCTGGGCAGAGGCCCCCTGAGGGGCAGGGAATCCCCTTGCCACCAGACACACAGGCAGGTTTTCTGGAGATGTGACTTTGTTCGGACCTGTACTGTGCCTCTCTGTTGAGCATGTAGGTTATTTCCAAATGTTCAGCCTCCTGTTTTATATGCTCAGGTGGAGCTTATGTACAGAGGTCCCATGCCCTCAGGTTGTTGTGATCTTATTAGAAGGATTTGGTGAGGTTTGAAGAGACCTGGTGGTGCCATAGAATGAGCACTACTGTGAACCAGAGGTCAGCATTTCAAACCCACCTACCCATTCCATAGGAGAAAGATGAGGCTGTCTGCTCCTGTAAAGATTTACAGCCTCAGAAACCCTGTACAAGTGTCACTATGAGTTGACATCAACTCGATGGCAATGTTGTTTTATGTCTTGGTGGGGTTTGAGCTATTGTGAGGCTGTCCACCTCTGTTCTGTGTTTGAGTCCAGGCCGAGCCCTGGATCAGGAACTGCTGCTGACTTGTGATGTAGCCCTGACGAGTAAACTCTTGTTTGTCACCTTGCTGCAGGTCGTCGACCCGTCCGGAGGTGGCCAGCATTGAGCCGGTGGACTTGGATGAGCAGCAGTGCTCCCAGAAGGCAGTGGTGCAGGCGCGCCTGTCCCAGCCCACCCGCTTGACCAGTATCATCTTCGCAGAGGACATCAGTAAGAGCTGCAGAACCCTCTAGGCACAGATGCACGATCGGGGACGAGAGAAGGGAAACCTCAGTGCACCGGATGGTTACACTTTCTTGGGGTTGGAGGATGCTGGAGGGCCCTGTCCTGTTCTCTGGTGGCCAGCACTCTGCACTATGTTGTCTCACATGAATGCTGGCTTTCTTTTCTAAATCACGTTTGTTACCCAAATAACTTTTAGTGGGTATCACATTGAATTTTTAAATACTCACAAGAAACCACTCCTTTCATTCCTGTGTTTAATATAGTATATTATGGTTGTAGAACATTTAGAAAACAATCAGCATATGTTTCTATCATGTTTTGTTCTCACCTACCATGATACAACAAGTTGTGCATTTGAATATATGAATAATATTCTTAACAGGAGGTTTCCCTGTGAGAGTTCTGCTGATATTGGACGTTCAGCTGTCTGCTTCAGTGCTGTATATAAATATTTTCTGTTGGAACTCTTGAATTCTGTCCTTACGAAAGAGGCTCAGATTGGCTGGGTCATAGCACAGGAGTATTGTCTGGCTTTTGGTAAATAGGTTGCACTGCTTTCCAACACAACACCCATTCAGTGCACAAATATTCTGATTTTTGTGTCTGTGTACTGGTATCATTACTGAACATGAAAAGTAGCCAGGAATGCCATTTATATATCAAAAAAAGTAAATCTATGCATGTGTGCATATAGCCCTGTGCTGCAGTGGATGGTCTCTGTGTAGGTACAGGTTCAAGGCAGTCCTGTTTTCTGTTGGGTATTGTAGCTCTTGGCATTTAACCGAATGGTTCCGCCATGAACAAAGGAGATTTTCTTTTGAAGACGTGTCCTGCATGTCAATTTAACCACTAGCACTCAGTTGGAAAAGCTTGGGGGGGTGTAGTAGAGAAATCGCACAGAGCCATGACTCCCTGAAAGGGTGCACTTGCTCATTACCTGCTTGACTTCAGAGGGCTAATTTGGTGCTTTCATGTTGATCTCTTGGTAGTTTTAATCTTTTCTAGTATGAGAAGACCTGTCCCTGTGAGCCCCAGAGGTGGGTGGGGCAGGCTGCTTATTCTTGGTGCTGACCTCTCTTTCCTGTGTCTCCCTCACACAGCTACTGGGCAGGTTCTGCGCTGTGATGCCATTGTTGACCTCATTCATGGCATTCAGATTGTCTCCACCACCAGGGAGCTCTACCTCGAAGACTCGCCCCTGGAGCTGAAGATCCAGGCCCTGGACTCTGAAGGTGAGGCTGTCCCCACCGTCACTCATCCTTGGTGACCTTTCTCCTGTGTCCAGTCCTTCTGCTCCCTTGGAGGCTAAGTGCCCATTCCATAGCAATGCTACCTCCTTATACATACCCCTCTTCCTCTCAACATTCTTTTTCACCTCCCACCCTGACTCCTCCCAGAGCACCCCAGCTCCCCCAGGATCTCATGCAGGCCTATGCACCTTAGGCATCCCTAAGGGCTCAGTCCTCCTGAACACAGGAGACACTGACACATGGGTGGCATTCCTGTGAGGAACTGCTGTTGGGTGGTAGCTTCCCAGCCCCCAGGCCACCTGTCCTTAAGTAACAGCACCCAGCTTTTCTGTGGATATCAACATTTTTCCCATTCTCAACCCATGAAATTCTAGGTCCTCACTCGTCTGGACTTGGGGGTCCTGACTTGGACGTGGCCGCTGGAGCCTTGTCTGCTCTGGCTACAGAAAGGCAGATGTGGTATTGGGGTAGAGGTTTAGAGGTAGATGCCACTCTGAGATAGACCCAGGCCGGTTCTCTTGCTCAGTACTCTCCATAGCAGGACCTGTTTACTCTGCTTTCATGGTCTTCAGGACAACTTTGCTCATGTCCTTGGTGGAAGAGCAAGTCTTGGGAACCTGCATGTGGGACTGACTTTGGGGTCCCTGGGAAACGACAGTCTCCTCCTAGACTTTGGCTGGTTTGACTTCCTTGTTCAGACCCCACAGCTGCTGCATGGTGCTGCTGGCTCAGAGCACTGTCTTCATACTTTTCCTTCACCAGTGTTGACTCTGGGATGGATACTTCTGTTCTGGTGGTGGTGAACTGTCTGGGCTGTAGCTTGACCTCTTGGTGAAGGAGGAAAGGGAGACTTCGTAGGTTAAGGTTTTATTGAAGTCAGTTGGGATAGATCTTCCCCCAAACTTCAAATCCCAGTCAAGCCTTCCTTTGTCTTTGAAGCCTCTCCTGACGACTCTAGCTTCTACTTTTTTTATTTTCTAGATGAGGGTTTCTCAGCCTAGACATGATTGACAATTTTGGGGTAGATAATTCTTTCTTGGAAAGAGAAACTGGTCCTGGCTACTATAGGATGTTTAGCAACATCACTATCCTCTACCCACTAAATGCCAGCTGTACCTCCTAATTCACGACAAGCAAAATATGTCTGTTGTTGTTGTTAAGTGCCGTCGAGTCGGTTCCGACCCATAGCAACCCTGGATAGGGTTTCCGAGTTGCAGCTGGTGAGTTTGAACCACTGACGGTGCAGTTCAAATGGCTTTGCAGTCTGGCGCATTAACCCACAGCGCCACACCAGGACTCCAAAAGTATGTCTAGACATTGCCACGTGTCTCCTGAAGGGACTATTCTAGATCATTATCCAGGCCCTTCCTTCCTTCATTTAGTCATTCTTTCAGACAAGCTCGTGTTCTAATCTGTGAAATTATAAGAGTGATACTTAACCTTGGGGGGGTTGTAAGGATTTAAATTTCAAAAAAATTTTGGGGATGGGTAGGAATAAGGAGTTAGGATTAAGGACTATGTCTGGGTCTAGGCTCGGCCTCGGATTTTGTTTAGTGTTAGGGTTATGGTTGCTAATACTGGGGTGCATGTTAGGGGTTGGACTTGGGCAAGGAGTAAGACTTGGTCTTATTTTAGGGTTACAGTTAGGTTTATTTTTACTTTATTAATTTTCTTGAAACCTGCTTGATTTCCTCTTCATTTGCAATTTCTATAACTATGTTTTCCCCTCTTTTTACTTTTGTTTTTAGTTGCTTTTTTAAACTGGTATCTCTGGTTCACTATTTGCAGTCTTGTAGATTTGTTTTACTTTGAATACTTCCATATCTGGGTTAACTTCTGGGTGATATTGTCATGTATGCTAATCTCAGGTTGTTGTCTGCTGTTGTTGGGTCTCTGTCCAGAGAACTTCCTTTAGTATTTTTAGTAAAGTTGGTCTGGTTTTTAAAAATTCTTTTAATTTCTGTTTATCTGAATGTCCTAATTTTGCCATCATATTTGATGGACAATTTTGCTGGGAATATGGTTGTTGACTGGAGTCATGTTGTAGCAGTGTAGGATCAGCACTGGACTGCAAACCACAACAGTAGCTGTTCATACACATTAGCCATCCCTTGGAAACAATACTCAGGATCCCTATGAGTCAGAACTGACTCAACAGTGCACAGCAACAACATGATTCTGGACAGGTAATTTTTTTCTTTTAGGATTTTTATATATGTCATCCCATTGTCTTTTTGTTTGCATGGTTTCTGCTGAGAAATCAGAGCTTAATCTTATTAGTTCTCCTTATATGTGACTTTTTATTTTTTCTGATCTACTCTCAGGATTCTTTCCTTGTCTTTGATTTTGAAAGTTTGATTTTAATATGGGATCTATCCTTTTGGAGGTTTGTTCTACTTCTTGAATGCCTATTTTCTCATTTTTCATGATGTTAGGGAAGTTTTCTTCCAACAACTCTTGGACAATTTTCTGTATGTTTTTTTTTTGTTGTTGTTGTTTCTTTCTGGTCTAGAATTCCAATCACATGTAAGTTACTCATTTTGATAATGACCCACATAAATCTTAGGCTTTCTTTGGATTTTTTTTGTTGTTGTTGTTGTTGGTTGATGTTCTTTTTTCTAATTGTTCCTCAAGCAGAGTAATATTGAGAGATTTGTTTGCAAGTTCACTAATATGGCTTTCCATTGATTCAATTCTATTCTTTTGTCTTATCAATGTATGACCTGTTTTTGAAGTCTTAATATTAATCTTCTGGCTTAAGATTTGCTGTTTTTGTGTGGTTCCCAATTTTTCATATATTTTGTCAGTTCTTGTAATGTTTCCATGAGTTCTTCTAAAGTTTTATATTTTCCTTGATTTAATCTGCAGTTTTCTCCATCATGCTTTCAATCCATTGAAGGCAGGTCTTCTAGAGAAACAAAACCAGTGAAATTTATATATCTATACACATAAAGAGAAGTTTATATAAAGGAAATGGCTTACAAATGGCAGGTTCCAGCTCCCCAGTGGAAAAAAGTAAGCTTTTCCTACATATCCATTATATTAGGAGCAGGCCATACTCCCAAGGAGGCATCTTTTCAATTGATTGGCTGCTCATAGCCAAGCAACATAGAGTTAACTATACCTGTATTAGATTTCATCAGCATGTGAATAACCACTAGGAATCCTAGCTAAAATGATCCTTATTAACACCTTGTTAACTTGACACCTATAAGTCATATGCATAATCTCTAAATAATATTTCAAACTCATACTTAACTAAAATGTGTACAACTGAAAATGCACTGACTCCATTTACAACTTATTTTTCACAAATGATCAAATGAGCAATGCAAAAATATTTGATGCACACATACAAAACAATATATATATTCATTTAAATATCCAAAGGGAACACTCTGAAAGCAGCCTCCTGCCCATAGGCACACAGCCTTACTCAGTCCATGGGCCTAGAGCCTGCAACTGCTCTGTCTCTCCATTCCAGCACCTCTGTTGCTGTCTCTGCTGTAGCCACTTTTTTAGGTAGAGATGTCAAGCTCCACTCATGCTCTTCCTTCTTGATGGTCCTAGGATTGTCTGTTCTTGCTTCTGATATGGCAAAACGAAACAATCCTGGCCTTAGAGTCTGTCATTTTAAAGATCACAATTAATCCTGCTAACCATTACTTACAACTGAAATCATAAAATCCTATCAGCATCATCTCCCTTCTCATTTCTCCAGATCCATCTGAAAAGAGGAAGGCTATTCAGTGAGGATTGGCCCTTGTCCCCCTCATTCTGAGACTACGCACACCCATGAAAGCTTGTATGCCAGACACATCATGACTTTATAGCTCCCATTTTTGATAGCTAGGTTTTTAATGGCCTCTCCCTATCAACCAAGTCATAGTATTTTCA